GTCTGAACGAAACGCTTCTGATTGCATATTGGGGAGTTGAACAGTTTGATCGCAATAGCTTCAGCCGTGCATAGAAGGGTGAAGCGTACAGATTTGGACGGCAATGGTGGAATACGATAAACGATTGCAAAGCGCATGAGGCCACTCTTTCGATCTCCGGATGCGAATCCTGAGAAGCACCCACAACAACAACAATGCAATTATTTTTGTTATTATTAGTCCAATTATTTTCAATGACATCATCAATACCATCATTGCCATTTACTTCAATATCACCATACTACAACAGCTATAGTGATCGAGGTAGATGCCACACAGTAAACAGTGTACAAATGTGTAAGCTGTGTTTATCATGAACATTTTGTGATAAAGAAGTGAAACGCCAACTTAAATACTTGAACTTTATTTACTTAGTCTATATGTGTGTGTGTGTGATCTGACCTCATGGGAAACGTCAACAACGGTGGCATTGCGGTTTGTGCACTGCTATGTTTCTCAGCTTCTACATCCAACTTGTTACGGGATCTTTGCTTCAGGCTGGAAGACTTGATACCAGACTTTGCCACATTTTAACCTCTAAACGATTATCTTCACTGTTGAGCTCCAAGTGAACATAAACAATATCAAATCACCAAGCCATCTTGGCCGTTTGACTTGAATGAGAGAGTTGGAATACTTATGCAGTGATCATGGAACGAGTACGCACACATCACGGTAATCAATCAGGAAGCGGAGATCCCGACCAANTGACGTATTGCAAGGACACAAATAAACGTGTCATAGCGTTGTTGATTGGACATCAAATAATTGACGAATGATTGCTTGATACTTGTGATATGCATCTGCGTAAATTTCCAAATACACTTAACCGTATTCACTGCTCTTCTTCGTGCTAGCTCATCTTGCGCTATCCAGTGATTTTCAGTCCAAATCCGATCTCGTGCTATTTAGTTTTTATTTATATTCCGAGTAGTATAGATCAGCACGAAGTGTTGTGTTGTCTCAGAGACAGAGATAGGACTACATAACCTGAGTTAACTGGGTCCGATAATTAGCAGTAGCCAAGCAAGTGGTGCCGATGATCGAAACTCGGACCAGCTGGACTGGTTGGGTTATCTGGTAGATCCACGATATATTCCGGATGATTTGAAATATGTAACGCTCTCCTCCTCTTATTAGGTTGATCCTAAAATTATGTAGTAGGAAGTATGTGAGTGACCAGACCATATAATATTCACATACTGGAACCTCAAATACTAAATCAGATTTGTTTCCATGTTAAGATTCTCGTCCAGAATGGATGAATTTAATTCACAGCAGTGATTGAATAATCAATCTCGAGAAGATCACGATATGGCGGATGCAGTGAAAGAGTTTACCTAGAACAAAGTTGCATCTGTTCAGTTAACCGAAGGCCATAGATGTCAGTCTACAGGAGTCACGGAAACAGTATACAAACCAAAGGAGGAGCTGTCTATTATCTGAAGAGATTACAACCAGAGCCATCAACAACAGAAATTTTAGGCAGAATGATGGCAGAACACTTTTTCCGAAACAGCGCAAGTTGTCCGTCAGCGAACTACTGAAGTTTCAAATACATGGTTCCCGGACAAGTCCCCATCCAAAGAGGCTGATCGTTGTTCAGTCCAAACCCATACGAAGACAGGGATCAGAAAGTTACATGGTTGTTTAATGCATGTGCTGCAGTTTTTTTTTGAAACGGAAACAAAGTTCACTTTGAAAGAGCCTGGAAGTGGAGTACAAACACCGTGTCGGCGACCGTGGATCAGAGAAATTACTCCGTAGGTGGCGAAGTTCTTGTAAAATACGGATATAGGAGAATTTATTGAGCATCATTCAGGAGATATGTGATAAGGGGTGTGTGTATCATAGTAAACGCGATAGATGCACAAAACAGAGTGGTTACAAATCAAACTCACAGTCAGTTCTTCCAATCTCGTGCAATAGACCGACCAACATTAGAATCGGAGACTGATTCGTCCAACTTTTCAGAAAAACGACGTCTTTGCTCGATGTGTGCAGAGTTCATTTTGACCAGCAAGAGTGTTATGAGCAGTATGTTTTTAACTCGTGGAAAATGAACTCGACTGGCTATTTCTCTCAACGGTCAAAAATGAACAAGACCTCTGAGAGTACTGTGTTCAAAATGGCAACTACGAGAAATGTTCATCTACCGTCGGACCATTCTACTAGTCACCTTGCGTTTGCAGGAATTGCGAGAGCTTGTTTCAACTGAGAAACATTACTGTATGGACGTAAATTTACGAATACGATTACTGTTATTCGTAACAAATAGCTTCCTTAATCCCGGAATCGTGGATTTATAAAACAAATAAGACCAATGATAAAAATAACAGTAAAAATCATAGTACTAAAAATAAGGAAAGTTGATGATGATGGATGACAAATGAGGGAAGTTGGCTGTCCTGTGTGGCAAGAGAAAAAAAGGTACTGCGGTAACCTACTCCTGGTGCGCGAGAACTCTTGTTGCTCGAGAACGGTGTTTTCCACTTTTGTTCGGGTCATCATCACAGATAAGCTTCCACACTGACTGATATTGACGGTTTACCTAATTTCTACTCTTAGAATGACCAAATACAAGCACTTACAGTACGTACAGCAGGAGTGGGAACTCATTTCACTTCTGTGCTGCCACTCTGATTATTCACAACTTGACAATTCGGTGGCAGAACAAGATGTATCACACTTGGTGCCTCTTTAAGGTTATGCTATAGTCAGACACAAAACTTCTCGAAATGGTAAAACCTCCGGTATCATTTTCGAAAATAACTTACGGTATTTAAGTTACTAGCGTTCAACTTGCGAGATCCCGGGTTCGATCCCCAGTTAGGTCGATGAACTCGCACTGCGGATGAAACCTAACCAGGTCGGAGCAGCTGTACAGTGAGTCCTAGTCCTAGTCCTCGTTTGCACGACGAACGCGCCATTAGTCAAAGTTTTACTGGAGAATCCTGGTACATTTGTAACTAATTGGACTACGACCCGTGGGACAACGATCAGCATGATAGAATTCCTGAACGAGAATCACATGTAACGTGTTTACTCTATAGAACTCATAAAGTACCTGCAGGTTTAGTGTTTCTACTATCTGGTGTTGCTTATTCTATTTTATCCGCAACCAATCCACAGTAAACAGTTTACCCAAACAATGCGGTTTAATATTATTCACACTTGCTGATGGTCCGACTATGGCAACAGTGTCGTAATTCGTATCAACAAAATGACGTGTGCAGGGATAAAAACGTGAACATGTCTAAACGTAAAAGTTATCAAAGGGATAAATTTCATACTCGGAAATGCAAACCCACAGATGGTTTTGGTATTCAGTAGGATGAATTATGTGGTCATTTTGTCCGACCATGTTTTAATCAATATCGTGGTACTTACCAATTATGGTTTCGCATTAAACTGTTATACAGAGCAACTGTATGTGTCTAATATCTGCAGTTTTCGACACTTGAAGCTCTCACTCATATGGTTTGTGAAGATGGAAAGTAACGTCACTGACTATTTGATAGATCGGTTGATTTGTTTACAGTTTGTTTATTCAACAATATAAAGAAAAATCATATGGTGAGAAGATACACGGTCGCTCATGCCTTATTGAGAAGCGTCTCATCAAGTGGCTGACGTATGTCACGCAGTGAATGGCGGGCTTTGGCAGGAATGAAGCAAACTGACTTCAAATAAATAGTTTTGACAGATCTACCAGTCTTCCTAATTTAAAATTGATCTGAATTCGCTTTTTGTTGGGCAGTTTAATAACTTGGATTTTTGCCCTCAAACTGATACAAGAATCTTTCAAAGTCAAAGAGTTTGAAAACCGGTTACGAAATGGATGATATTTGTCGAGCGCTGTATTGTGTAACAAAACGTGAGCAAAATTATGAAATAAATAACCTATCAATGTGACTCGTTCGGGATACGCGTAACTGTCGAGATGATCCGAGAACGGTTAACAAAAGTGGGTTGATCGGGTGAAGTAACTTATTACCGCCACTAAAGTTGATCTACTGATTCCAGTTATTCCCGTTCCCTGTTCGAGAGAGAAAGAGGACACTTTAAATAATCCTATCAAAAGGTGGTTAACGTAATCATAAAAAAGATAGGCCACATTGATTCTTGGTAACGTATTGAGAAGAAAATCATTTCTGCACTTAGAAACTGACCATAGACATGAATGTTTACCGTTTGCAGTTGCAAGCATTTTCACAGAAGTTAATGATCTATGGTATACCATGTCAGTAAATCCTTAGATGCGTGTACCGATTCATCTACATTAAATCTTGTGTCTGCCATCGACTTTCACCTGATCAAATCCCATTCTGCGAGTACAAAAATGAAAGCTCTTTCCAGTTTCATCTGATATAAAATTTCACGACACATCCCGGGTCAAATATTCCACTAAATGTGGCGTATGATTGGCTAACTTCGATGACAAAAAGGAACCAATCAGATTCTTTTCCTGTTTGCATTATGTAAATATCATGAATTTAATTTGATTGGAAAGAAGGTAAAAAGCTCAATACGTATGTCTCAGTAAATTGTCAGAAAATTGAAGCAGTGCTGTTCGTTTCTACAGCGTTTCGGGTTGATTTCACTGCACTTTACACCCTCTTGTGAATGTGGATCGCACTAGAACATCATCATTGTTCTCTTACCCCACTATGTTGAAAATTTCTAAGCAAGCAGAAGCAAACCGAATTCATTCATTTGCTTGAATTTAAAAATCAAGCAATGAAGAAATCGTTATTCTGCACACACTGCATGAAATCCTATGCAAAGATGGCGGACATCATGAACATCACCGTAAATACGACAACATCAGCCGACAAGAGTAACGATATTGAACCTCATCAGCGGGTTTTGATCAACATCGCCTGTGTGCTTCTCGCGTTTGGCACAACCGTCTCGTTCTACAACACATTTGCTCTCATACAAACCCGGGTTGACTCAATCCTGTCAAAAATACTCATGTACAATCACAATATATTCAATGGAACATTCTGCATTGTGGTCGGTTATTTGTTGGCGTCGTTCAATTACACATTTCAATTAGGAAACAAATCAGGCAACCCGTTTATCTGTTACGCGTTACAAGCCGGTTTTCTTGTCATTCTCTGTGGTGCCTCCGTGATTTGCAACGTGATATGTCAGTGTGCGGATCGATTTTGGGCCATTATCTATCCGAAATCCTATCGTGTTCACACAAAACGTTACATCATCTCTTGTTACGTGTTCATCTGTACATATTCAGGTGTTGTTGCATCTCTGCGTCTTCTCCGAACGGATCTGGTCAATGGGAGATGTATTCCAATTGACGAGTATAGGCGGAAATATGTGTTGGCCATGACTGAAATTGCACTGTTGTACATTTTACCAGTAGTTATGATGGTCTCACTGACTGTCCCGATCATTTGGCACTTGCGACAGTATCTACTCGGAACTCTCCGCAATAACAAAATCACACCTGTGTCGCAACAAACCATTTCCGACAGACTGGGACGGAGTGATGGTTCACTGAATGCGCTTTACGTTGCACAGCGCGGTATTTTTCTCAACAGTATGATTTTGGTGATCGAACTAATTTTACTGGTAACCATTTTGCTCATCTTGCTTGTTTTAGACAAATTACGTCTCGCCCTGTTTGGAATCGCTTCGCCTTTTCGTATCTATTATTTGTTTGTTGTCACACTGACCTGTACGTTCAATCCGTTTATAACAACTTTTACGGTGACTCCACTGAGACGGACCGTGGGCAACCAATGGCGGAAGTGTAATTTCCATATCCGCACAATACACACGAAATGCCTCTGTTTGCACCCAGAATCAAATTGATAAAGATTCACTTGTCCTTTCGTTTAAAAGTCAGCCATATAAAAACTAATGAGGAAAACCGCATTATATCTGTTACTTTATTTCGACCAGCGAAATATTTTTCAGTGAAATGTTTCCCATGGTTGTGACTTACAAAGGAAACTGTGGGTTTGGGCTTGTCGTCGACGGTATGGATTTGTCCAGTGAGTTAACGTGCTGACAATAAAACACAGTGAATTTCTATGTTGAACCAACTGATACTGTGTGATTGTTATGTTATTATTAATGAACAAACAATTGGAATCATATAATAATAGTATCATTATGCTTTGGGCCTTTTCGTTCCTTCTATTGGTGTGAAATATAAACCAACTGTGCTACAATACTAAGTAAGCTTTAGTTCAGTGCCAGTGCTGTAATATACTTCAATGGGAAACGATCAAATAATTTCGTTTGAGGGAGTAAAATACTGCGCACTGTCGAAGCAAATTGGTGCCCTAAGCGTTGAAAACGAAAGTGCTGGGTTTTTAAATTTATATGTAAATTCTCAGGCTGAGGATTTGAGTATTTTCCTTTTCTTATTTTAAAAACCTCGGTTTGAGAATCTGGTATTCAAAATGCATTGACTTAAACAAATGGAACCTGGTAACTATGTGGAAAATTCGGTTTCCTGAAGAACAACTCACTGGGATATAATGTTCTTGGCCATTCAACCATGTCACAGCACCAGCGATTTGAATCGATTTTCAAGGACGAGTTTCGGATACGGTAGGTGTGCAGTAACCTAGATTTTCATGGTGGCATTGTAATTGAAGTCAGTTTGTCTGAGCCGCTCTTATTAAGGGGTGACCATACGAACACTTGCACTATCCCATTTAGTGTTGCAATGAGACTGAAAGTGAAGCATGATGCTCGCCTCTACTTCTTTAAGTTTTCGGGTGTTTTCGTTATTGCATGAGGTAATTTTCGTGATTATGCACCGTTGGCATCGGATTCAGCGTTTGATTGTTTATCATTAACTAAATATAGGTGGTATTCGCCTGAACGGTCATACATCGTTTTGTATTTACTTCCAAGAGTGATACTGCCTTATCCACGCAATACGAGTTTATCCTGAGTTATGCGCCATTCACCATTCATCCCATCCGTCAAACAGGTGTTGCACGTCAAACATCCAGTTCTGTTCGAATTTTATTTGTCAGGCCTGATTACATCAATGGAGGCGAGATGGAACATTGGAACCGCTTAACCCCAACGACAGTTTGACTGCCAGTAAACAAGTAGCTATATTTAGTCAAAAATAGTTCATATATTGTAAGAATACGGCAGTCCCGGTGCCAGGAACTAGGTGTCACGTTCATCAGATAATCTCTAATTCACGCTGCAATAGATGGATGTTATACTTTCAAGAGTGATAAAGAAAACGCGGGACCATCTTGAACTTATTCTGCTACATAAGGGATGTAAATTAAAATGTTTGAGCGAATATATTGCAAAGAAAAGAATCTACCTGAAAAATCGTCCTTATTGGCTACTTGGTTTGAGACGAATTTGGTTATCGTCGTTAGCGCACACTCGCATGGGACTTGAGAATCTCGCCTGCATTTTTCCTGGTCCGATTCTCGAGAGGTACTCGAGTGAAAAATAGTTACTGTTATTCCTTAACTTCACCAGGCCTTCGTATGCATGTTGAAACCATCCTGGGTAACCAGAGCTGTCGCGAGATGTGGTCGGCGTTGAAGCAACTCTGTGGCACACGTAGGAGCTCCGGTCCTGACGTAGAAGAATTAAACCAACAATTTTCTGCCTCCTATGAGTCCAATTCTCTACCGTTCGTTTTCAATTATTCAGA